TTAACCGGCCAACCCTTTTATCTGTCACCCATGACCCTATTCAGTTTGCTTACAAACATTCACTTTTCATTTTTGATGCTGTTGATAACGTTGTTCACTCCGTTTCATCCTTTTTGGATAAAGGTCTGGCATCATCCGCTTAACTTTTCTTGATTATGCTAATGTTTTCGGATCACTTGACCGCGGCATTCTTATTCAACGTATTTCGAATTGTGGTCTGGCACCTAATTTGCTGGATGTACTAATTAATTACTTCACTGATCGGACGCAATACACTTTTTGTAACGGTAAATCTTCCTCCCTACTAGAAAATAACTCTGGAGTTTTTCAGAGTGCAATTTTGTCTCCATTTCTTTTTTTCACTGTATAACAAGGAACTTCTCATCCCTCCCAACTTTATCGCCTGCAAGTATGCTGACGACTTGGTGGTCGGTTGTCCTTCGACTGTTCCTGATTGTTTCAGTNAATAGAATTTGTAGTTGGTCGACTCCCCGATCTGTAATGCTAAATGTAGGTAAATGTCTGGATGTTTCTTTTAGCCTTAAAAGAAGCATATCTTATTAAACACTTTTGAGTAATCAGCCTAAACTTTCTGTCAATGGTAATTTCATCCCCAAAGCTAATTCTGTGAAATATCTTAGAGTCACTTTGTCACACAATCTTTCTTTGTCCAAACATGTTGAAAACGTTTATATTGGGGTTCGTAGACTATCCTTCTACGCTTTTAGGCTTAAAAAGCTCGGCGTTCCCCTAAACGTAATTCTTAAATTTGTGACTGCATGCATTCTTCCACATTGGTTGCACTGTTCCCTCGTATATTTTCCTGGTCTGAAAGAGAAAGACTTTATTCTCTTTTCCAGCTCTCTTAAACTTCTTTCTCGTTGCAGCGGCATTTCAAAGACCGTTTTGGTTGACTTTATTGTTAACAAGCATTTTGACTCATACGATCGATTTATCAGCCATATCCTGTCCAATGAAGAACACTGCCTGCACTCCCTTCTCAATAAAACGGTGTCGCATCCGAGTACCCGTTCCCGATTCCGGATTCTTTGTGCACGCACCACCACATACAAAAACAGCATGATCTCTTATTTCGCTCGTATCTTGGTCAACCGAGCAAATATTATTACTGACCTGAACAATCATCTGTCACATTAGGATTTTATCTAATCCGTTTGTTTTACATTTAGTAAATGTATATTTCTTCTTTTTTCCAGTGCTTAACGTTTTCCTCGCGGTTACTTGTCGAAACTGCTGAAAATTCATCCTATTGGGTGCATGATGCTTTACTTGAATTGACTCGACTTGACCAGACTTGTACGAAAAACATGTGGTTTGAACTATTCCATTGAAGGCTCCGGGTGGTTACATCTTTAATTTCATCCTTTTCTTTGCCCGTAGAACCAAGCTCGAAAGTTACACCCGTGATCACATTTATTTCTCATTTATTAACATATGTTCAAGCGATCTGGCTACACATCTAGTGTTGATCTGTTTACTCAGAGTGATGCCATAAGCTATGCAACTGGAACTTTTGGGGCAGATTTTTCCCCTGAGTGAACCATCAGTCTTTGACAACTATAAATTACTTGTAGCCGTATTCGTCGTATAACAGTTGTATAAAGTTAATAATATGTGAATCACTTTAATTATAAGATATTAATGCATACGAAGACTTTTCTTTGAGTAACTTGGTCCCACTGCTTGGGATGATGGTGATAACGCCTAGGAAATGCCACGGTCAAATTGTGCCCTGTGGTACTTGACGCGATATTCGACCGGGAATTCGAGAGCAAGATCGCTGTTATCTAAACACTCACAGGTTAAGAAGTATATTCTATGTGGAGCGAGAGTTATTGTACAAGAATAAGTCCAATATCTCTTAGCTGATTGCATAATTTTTCGCTTCGGTGATACTTCGTCTAATCTCTTCACTGATGGAGGCTCCCTCTCTGTGGTCCAGCAGAACATTCCCACCCAATCACAATTTGAGTATTTTTTGAGAATTTTTGTTTCGCTCAGGACTAGTGCTATTTGGATTCGGACTTATACTGCCAAGCAAAACAGAGTTACAGTGCAATTGTGTTGTAAATAAAACAATCAGCTTCTGAACTTAGACGACTTAATGAGACCAGTTCCGTTTACACACGTGTTACCACTAAAGCTGCCCTACCGCATGAAATTTCTCTTCGAAATTGTAAAGTACGGATAACTTGCAGTATGATTTCACGGATTGTCTGAGTAATTTCCTACAGAAATGCGAAAAACACCTTGGATTATTAACTCATACTGGTGTAAATTAGTAACTATTGTGTAAATCACTTCACCAACTAATTTCGTTCAATCTACAAAAAACATTATTCTTGCACTGTCCAGCTGTGAAATTCAGGCCAATTAAGCCACCTCGATACTACCAAGTGAACGGTAACTTATTGCAAAACTAATGGCAATCGTTTAATGAATCAGGTAGGTGCTTTCTCAACTTCTCTCTTCACAACCGATCTCGGCAATGCACGATTGCCATCAGCTAAAAGCAGATCATCTTGGTTACACACGTTCTGCTTCAATCAAGCCGGTTACTTCGTGCTAATCATACCAAATGGCAGTTATCTTAGTGTCCTTGAATGCGAGGTCAGTTCATTTGTTAGGCCTCCCATACTTATCCACTTCACCGCTTATTTTGATCCCCATTCACGGTCCTCACCATGTCCAGCTTTTATAATCTAATACATTACTATGTGACCATATAACCAACATTCTTCTGTCTCAGTATAATAGATCCACCATCTTCTCCATGCTTCTGCTTTGGTGTGAAAGCTGACAAACAAACAATTGAAACCGTACTCCCCACATTCTCTTTGTACATAATGCAACTGGCTGTTTACTTTTGTTGGTCTCATTGTTATGAAATGTTATTGCCTTTGCTCAGACTGTGTGCCGGACAGATCATGATCAAATATTTTCTTAATGAAGATAATCCACGAATCGTTTATGGGAAACAATAGTGCTTAATTCACCATGATGAAATCGGTGTAGCTGCAATCGGGTCATTCAGCTAACTAAACAATTTCATAAGGCAAATAAATCTAGCCAGGTTAAATCGTTGCAACAAGTGTTGTTATTCATCCATTGTGTAATCGGTTAGTGAACTGCTTTCTCCCTCAGCTGATGTGTGTTTTATTTCCGCGACATGCGTCAACGAAAATTGTGCAATAGGGAGCTATCGAACGTGTCACTTGTTATCAATCATCTCTTCGTCATCTCCTCAATCAAGCTTACGCAATGCCTTGCGGGACATTGTCTTCCTCGCCCTTCGGTAATTATTCAAACGCGCGCGTTCATGTGATCATCGCATATACACACATGCATGACCGAATGAACAAGACACGCCAATTGTACACCCACTTCCATTGGTTACCATTTTATCCCCTCATTGTTATGTGACGCTTCAGGATTCAGTAAAACCACATGCTTTGAACCTCGTGTGTTTCGGTCCATTCTCTCTCCGCCGACGACGGATAGCGATGTTCTAGGCTGCAGCATTGGCTCATCTATCTGAATGTCCTATTCAACCCAGGTCGTGTAAATGAGGCGTGAACTGAAAAGCTGGGAAGCACTGGACAGCAGTTTAGACCTGGTTGGGTCTCATCAACAGTGCAAATCCATCGACCTCACTGGGGATCGAACCTGAGATCACTGCTCTGGCTGTTATTCATCATCTCTAACACCTTTTCTGTCGTAATTAACCACACTATAATCGTTGGTAAAGCACTTCGGTCCGACTCAAACCGCAGGTTTTTTCTGTTGGCTTGAATCACACTATTTTTGTTTTTTTGATTCGTTCGTTGTGCTGTATTCTTCACGCAGACTCGGTGCATGCCTAACCAATGAAAATCCTTGAAACCAATGTACAGTCCTTGTATGGTCCTCAGGAAATTATCCACCGCATCCACCGGGATAAGTGACACGTTAAGCCTACATAACAAATGCATTTCACTGGACAAAACAATACCTTCAAATAATCTCAAGTTAACCAATTTTAACAAGCCAAAAGCGAATACAAAAAGCAATAACAATCGGTTCATCACAATAGCTTCTATTACACGTCAGAATGGCTGTGTTAAGCCATCACGAATAAGGTCAATGAGGAAAATAGATTTGTCTCACCATTAGGAAAACAAACAAACAGATAACTCATTTGTTTCCGCTACGTGGCGATTGGACTGTCGTCGTCCCGGATTGTTGTTGTTGTTGTTGTTGCTGCTGCTGTTGTTTTTGCAGCTGAGCATTTAGGCAGATCAATATTTTGTGCAACTCTTCAATTGCATTGGTTTGCATGAGAATGTAGTTTTTGGCCAACAGTAGTGTGGCAATTTTTGACAATTTTCTCACAGATGGACTGTGCGCGTATGGGATCACAGTACGTAGGTCATCCAGAGCGTCGTTCAAATCATGCATTCGTCTGCGCTCACGCGCATTAATACTCAGTCTAGTGAAACGCTGATGCGGTGCGTTTGTGTTGGCCACGTGTCTGCCACTTTGGCCAGTGGAAGGAATCAGGCGTTTGGTAGATGTGGCCGAAATATTCACAGATCGATCACGTTTATGACCGGGCCAACAGGTTTCGGATTGCGTGTTTGAGAAGAGGAGTGAATCACATCGATTCGTGTTCGGGTGACTGTGTTTGTGATCATCATGGACACTTGCATCTACCGCATCCATGTGCTTCGTGATGTTTGGTTATGAAACAAAATGACTATTCAGTGAATTTTCCAAGCTGACTAATGAGCTCATCCCCATGGACCAATCGGAAGTGAGTTACCCGATTCGATCGCTGATTGGTTCAATTTGGTTTAAAGGGTTCAGGTCCGGTTTTTCTTACTCAAGTAAACGGATGATAACGATGCATTGGATGAATGCTGGGATGTGACTGGAGACAACAAATGATTAAATGCACATTGGCTACATCAAACACAGATTGGAAAAATGTCAGTTTTCTTCCATGGGTAGGAATATATTTGGCCGCTTGGCCTCCTGTCAACTGCTTAATAATCGAGACCTCGCGGGATGAATTTTAAAGGTGAATACATGTAAAAAGTTATAGGAGAATTTGTTCAGTACAAGTGCGTCCTGTTGAAATCCAGCAGTTTTACACGCTGTTTTAAGTCGGACGTTTGGTGTAGCTTTTTGGGATAAACAAACATAGAATGTCGATGGTTGAACAATCCAGAGAAGACGAAATGAAATCGAAGTTAGTGAAGCATTCATTATTCTGTGCGAAATAGCAAAAACATATATCATTTTAAAACTGTGCATGTAAACCAAAAAAATGAAATTCTCCATTATTCTCTACTCCTTCTGTTTGCACTAGTTTGCCAACTCGTAATTCTCGAGGCTAGACTTTGCACACAGAATGTGATACATTATAAAATTGTTTTTATTTACACACGAGTAATTCCAGACTGTGCCAATTATTTCATAGTACGAAACAATTTCCAAAGCGAATAAATCAGTCCACGAGTTTGCTCATTTTTGGGATACTGCTGGTTGGCCCTGGGCAAACCAAAAGAACTTTCTGGGTCTTCGATTCATTTAAGCCCAACCAGCAAGACACCGGGGAGATGTATGAAAACTGCCATTCGTTGGGGCTTGAGTCCGGTTTATTGAATCATAAGGCCTTCGGACGTGGTTAAATTTTCAATGAGTCCACTGTAGCTGGGGACAATGTCACAGTTAGAAATGAGTGGGTGATTGTGGTTTGCACGCCTTTTCTTCGTTGGCTTTGAATCAGGAGTTTTAGATAACCTTCGTAACCTTCAGTGGATTCTTGATCCGGATATCCCCAGCTGTTAGCATATTATTATGACTCAGTAGGAAATCTCCTCCATATGAAGGCGGTGTGTAGGACTTTCACAATAGATGCTATTTGATACGCTTATTGTATTGGAGCATCTTGAGAGGTACCAGAAAATGTTTAGTAATCACAATGAAAGACGTCCCTTCCGACCATACTGAGGCATTCGCAGGCCCTGTGATACACTTTTATATATCTATATTTTGCAGCAAGTATCATGTGCATTTATAGACAAAATTTTCCTGGAAGCAGATCGCTGGTTTCGTGGTGATTGCCGCTCATCAGGTACGCATATATAGTGCACTCTTGTACGGTTATTTAGATACTTGAACTCTAGATATAGATTTCCAACACAAATCTCTAATGTGAAACGGCGCATTTTTGCTGATATGCTGTCAATAATCAGTAGGTATATATAATTTTCATAATAATTTACCTGAAAGCACACCACCGGTTTCGCAGTCCCTGCCGCTCCTCAGGTATGCACATTCGGTAACCTTTTGTCACTTCATACAGATACTTGTACCCAGCGAAAACTGATATATATATATATATATATATATATATATATGTATAGCGAGAGAAATGTTATCAGGGGAAATTAAAAAACGAACGTCTTTGTCATGGGAGTGGTTTGAATCTAACGATTATTCCTCAAAATTTGTTACATCAATAAATGTGTACTCAGGATGAAAGAACTATGAGCCATAAATTCACGGTAGACATAGAGAGAAACAGTATACCCTAGTTTCCAAGGCAGAACTCCAGGGCCTAAACAATACAAGTGAGCTACAGGAACCGAGCGTTTAAATACGATATGATTATTGATAACATTAAATTCGAATCCATTGAATCCTTTGCATTCATCGCATCCATGACGAATAACCATGTTTACTTCAGGGTTCATATTCCATTTTCATGTAAAAGTGATATGAAATGCTACAGTAAAATGCTATTTATTTAGCAGCACAGAGAATCGGATATACGAGTATTGAAATACGTACGGTTTGGTTCCGAAAATCTCAGCCATTGAACGAGCTTCATCCCAGGGATTCCATTATCTTATACGCACAGACTGATTTCGAATCTGGGTAAATCAACTGAGCATCCGATGTAATCATCCAAGGGAAAACTCGTCAACATTTGAATCAATCAATTGTACTGAAGGCTTGGACAATGGAAAGCTATATTTTGGTCAAAGTTAACCTATGAAAAGTGAACGAAATGGAAGTTTCAAGAGATCAATTGAATCCATGATCAAACAGAGCCGCTCGTGTACGAATACTGAGCAGAATATCGGCGGCGTACTTCTCAAGTGGAGCTCATACTTGACAATCTAGCGGAGCTTTTGATCCGTAAACTTCCCCAAGCTGGGTTCAAGTCACACTTTCAATTCATGATCGGTAGTTTATAAACACTGATCAACAGAATAGAGATGGTCATATGAGCCCTTTATAATACGCCTGAATTGGGTTCTGTGTTGTAGTGATGCACGTCAGGCAAGTGATTAGCCAATTTCAACGCACACCAGAATGGGCCAAATCAATCAGTGGCAGTGCGGTGACCGACTGACACGGTGAATTTCAATAATAGACGATAACTACTTCTTATTGAGAAGTAGGCAAACTAGTTATGCAAAATTGAATCGAGAATTATTCATTACTATCACCTACCGACACAATTCTCGCCTGTAGAATTTGTCATGAACATGGTAAGACAATGGTATAAAGTGTGCTCACCGAAGGGACCGTACAAAGCTAACTGATTCCTCAGATGCTGTGTCGCTTTTGTAGATGCAAAACTAGTAGTAATAAAGTTTAAAATACCCCCACCACTACCAAGCATGTAAAATGTTTGCGAAAGGTTTTGCAACGACAGTGAACAGGTTTTTTTTGAAAATGGCGAATCTGTGGAGGATGCATCGTGACATCGAGAACATGATAAAAATGGCACACTGATTTAAATTTGTGATATAAATAAATGCATGTTTCATCCACGTTTAACTTTTTAATGCAGCGTTGGGTTCTACACCTATTCTTCCTCATTGGTAAACAACCGACTCACATGCCATTTGGCGAATATCAGACCGCAAAGTAAAAATGAATGTTTCTGTCAGCTCCAGGGCAAGCCATTGTATTCTGAACAGGATTGATGGTTTTTTGTCAATATCTGATTCCTGGAAACAAGCCCAGAAAATGGTGCTGTGGCGTCTAGCGCACTAGTGATCAAATGAAAGATGCGCTTGACATTGCGCCGAATGTATTGCAAAATCGCGAACTTCACCAGTTTCCGTTCAGTAACTCTAGGGGAATTCAGTTTTCTCCTAGAATACGGCAACGGTAAACCTGAAGGTATATGTGTTTGATTTCATTGTGATGCCTTCCATTGTGTAAGCAGGAAAGAACTGATGCATATTGCAAATGCTGTAGGTGTGCAACCCTAAACCGGTATTCAAATATGAAACAAATTTTAAAAGCGTTCCCTAGGAACATTTAATCATATTCAAAGCTATCTTTTGTTGCTTTTTGCAACAGAATTCTATATGACGAACTATTCTGTCGCTCTGTTTCTTTATAAATTTTTTGCTGATTGTCAAGTATGAGCTCCACTTGAGAAGTACGCCGCCGATATTCTGCTCAGTATTCGTACACGAGCGGCTCTGTTTGATCATGGATTCAATTGATCTCTTGAAACTTCCATTTCGTTCACTTTTCATAGGTTAACTTTGACCAAAATATAGCTTTCCATTGTCCAAGCCTTCAGTACAATTGATTGATTCAAATCCTGACGAAAACAATGTATTATCATACAATGGTTGACTGTTTTGGGATTGCGTTGAGTGTGTAGGCCGAGCATTCACTTCTCGACTGAATCCCGATTTACAGCCATCTTTGCGCTGTACGTCTGGGTCGTTCAGTACTCAATAACCGCTGTATAATGAAGCGTAGATGCCTATTCTTCATGTCCGCACCGACTGATCGCAGTTCACGCGAAATGACGGATGAATTCCACGAGGACCTCTCTTAAGTGCCCCAACGGATATCGTATTAATCGCTGGGGACTTCATTGCTCAAGTGGTACCCCTGGAAGAATCAGAGAGGCTACTTGGTGGTTCACATGCAATCTCAGCCATCAGAACTGACAAAGGAGAATGCCTGGTCGAACCTTTTGCTGACCACAGACTGTTTCTATCAATCACCAACTTTTCGCACAGGACACGACACCGTCTTACATGGAGACCGCCAACCGCTTCAAAGCGCTGGTAATAAATCGACCACGCCGCCACCAGCCACCGCTGGAGAGGATCCATTGAAGACTGCCGCTCCTACTGTTCAACAACCGTGGACACGGAACATGCTCGGCTATAAGCGAGATTCACCCTACGCCTATTAAACAGTCGCCGAAAACGGATGCCTGCAATACGGTATCAGCAGCAGTTGCTAATCGGCCTTCGAAAAAGAAGTATCAGATTGTCTCTCAGCTGATTCATCAGCCGGAGGACTCACTGAACAAAAAACAAGGAAGCAATCCGAACATCGATCAAAATAACGGCAGATTCTGGCGCACGAGGAAATAAAAAACGATGGAGCTCCCCGACAAAGGTTACTCGGAAAGCCATTCCTTCGGATTCAAAATATGACAAATAGCGCAAATCCATTTAACGCCAGCTCATCAAGAGTCTGAGGAATGACCGCGATGAGTGGTGGTTAGGAAGCTGTAGCAAAATGGAGAAGGCTGCGGCTATCGGTAATAGTTGCAATCTTTTTCGTTGTATTAGGAGGACAGGTCTAAGGAAAGTCGGCGTAAAGTAATTGAGGGGGGGGGGGGGGGTACGGCCCACTGATTTAGATCTAGCAACGCCGTCTAGAACATTTTCAGGAACAGTTAAGCTGGCCCTCGTCAGCACAAGCGCTCCCTATAACCTGCTTCAGCTGTGCCAATACTGCCAATTGACATCAGTCCTCCATCTGAAATAGAGGTTAACCGGAGAGTAAATTATCTTTAAGAGTATAAGGCTTCCGGCCCCGACGGGCTGTCCCCAGGAGGATGGATGAAGGTTCAGCCTTGGTTTTGGAGTTAGCGAAAATCTTGGGCTCAGCTCAGGGAGAGGCAATAGGTTCCAAATGAATGGTGTGAATCGGTGATCATACCAATTCACAAGGAAGATGATAGATCCTCTTGGTAAAACCACAGAGGAATTAGTTTAATCAACATCGTCTCTAAATTTCTCGCTGGCATTATACT